TGCATTGCAAACACCCAAGAAGATCATGGCTTCAATCAGGCACTTTAATCTTCAAACTGACGTCACCGTTCCTTAATAATTTGGAGAGTCTTCTCAAGAAGCAGACTTTCTCAATGCAACCTGACTGTTGGTACCCAGGGTTGATTGTGGATCAGCAAGACGAAGTCATTGACAGTTCCCATCTTTTCTCTATTGTGTTGCCTATTACTGCAGTGGTGACGATTGTGGTCTTCTTGATGTTGAGACCCATCCTGAAGGCTCGTCTTTGACCCTGCGTAGTGACTGTTTAAACCCCTCCTCACTGGTAGCGAGGCTGTGTCACTTACATAACACAGGCTGTTGAGAAGGCTTCCTCTGATCTTGATGCCACATTCATTTACAGAGTTCTACTTAAAATGATTTGCTCAGCAGAGATTGAATAGGTATGGAGAAAAGATACAGCCCTAATGCACACCTTTCCTGATTTTACACCATGCAGTGTTCCCTTGTTCTGTTTGGACAACAGTTTCTTGGTCTAGGTGCGGGTTTCATGTGAGTTTACCATGGTATACAGCAATTAAGTATACAGCACAGTAAGTATTGGAGCTCTTGTGGCCTAGTGGGAAGAGACCACGCTGCAATCCCAAAGGCACATGGTTCTAACTCATCAGCTGCTTTGCTGATGGGAGGATGGGCAATCTGCTCCTGTGCTATTTGTTGTTAAATGTTGTCAAGTTATAGGCAACTCATAGCGACCCTATGAACTTTCTTCGTTTCTCCAAGTTCATAGGGTTTCCGGAGGCAAGCTAGTTCGGAAGTGGAGCTCCGCCAAACACTGTCCATGGGTGACCAATATTGCATTTGGCACATCAGGGTCACAGTGTTCAGCATCACAGCAACCATGAGTTACCTCTGTACAGCAAATCGACAGAGCAGTGCTCTACCACCTAGAATGTTTGACCAGAAACAATTAAAATCAGGCCTGAGGGCCGCAGACTATCTCTGAAAACTCACTAGAAGGTCAGCTGTGAGTTGGTTCTAACTCAGTGACACACATTATTAGTAACAAAGACGCTCAGTTGAAAAGATTCAGAGAGATGTAACTGGGTATTTCTGTCATCACAGGAGACTAGAGCGAGGGCTGCATGGTGGAGGGGACCTGGGGGAGGGTTTGTAAAACAATGAAAGAATCTTTTCTTTTACTTTTCCATAATTTTTGGACTCATGTACTTATAACTTGTTAGTCAAATTTGTGTCTTCTAGGTTGCAACACCCCCATGATACATCTTGAAGGATATGTACATGTACAGCCAAGCACAATCAATAAGAGTGCATCTGAATTCCAAAATCAATCTCCATAATAGTCTATGTGTTTCCTACTGCCAAAGGGGCCCTTTAGAGTAGTGAGAGAAGATCTTCACCCTGAAACCCACAGCGTCCCTTTTCAGCAGGAAGTAGCTAAGAGAATACGCCGTCCCCTTTTCCTTATGACTCAGGGTGAAGTCTCTCTCAGGGAGGAGTGATAGGGAATGGCAAAGGATACACTGACAAAGAAGATTAATCAGAACTGGCTTTGACAAGCACTGTGGCATTTGGACAAGAACAAACTGGGAGGAGGGTAGAGAGAATAGTGCAACAATGAATGAGTGGAAGCCCAAAATCTCTGTAAATGTTTATGAAAATTAATAAAATATAATTATAGGGAAAAAAAAAAGAAAAGATTCAGTCCTTGGCTTTTCCCTCAGAACGCGGTCTGTAACTGCACACAGCCAACGGCTGCGTGTCCCGAGCCCTGCTCAGTCAGGTGCCCTTGGCTGGAATGGTGTTTCAGGGGAGATCAAGGGACGGCTGCTTCCTCTTCTAACCTCGCGTGAGCCCTGACTCATGCCTGGAACCCCTCCATCTGCTTTTCAAGCTTTTCTCACTTCTATGGGTTTGCACTCACATATAACGACTGTGCCCTCATGTTCCCAAGACCCAGTGACAGCGCGGAACCCGCCTTTGCTGCAGGGACTGCTGTCGAGGCCGACTGTGGACTGTCCAGACTGCGGGGTCCCTGCTCTGGATGGCAGAGATCTAACCTCAGAGCCCCCAGGTGGGACAGGTGGTCAAGCACGCGGCTTCAGGATCAAGGTCTGGTGAGTTACTTCTGAAGGCTCAATCACTAAAACCCTGAGCGGGACATCAATTCCATTATCAACGTCACCAGGCCCAGGAGTAGCCACCTAGAGTTCCCTATCCACTTCCCAGGAGATTCTGATCTGGCTTGAGATTGTGGCAAGAGTGACTTTGGGGTCCTCGGGTAACAACCAGTAGTAAAGTGCACTGTGGGATCGATCAGTGCTGCCTAGGAAGACATACTCCCTTCACACGTCAATGGAACACAGGGCAGGCTGGGCACTGCCCTTCAGTGGGCTCAGCTGAGAACAGCCCAAGATTACGACAGGACACAGATGGGAGACACCAGTGCCCTCACGAGCTCTGTGGGGCAGCTCTGGGTTCAAATCCTGACTCCCACCAGAGAGCTGTGGGATCCTGGGAAAGTCACTTCCCTCTTTCAGAATAGTTCCATTAATCTCTGAAGGTAACAGTGTTGATAGGGCCCATTTCACAGAATTATTGCACAAATAAACTTCCATAAGACAGTCTTTGGGAGAGGGCAAGAGTGGTAGAACTCTCATCATTTGTGCCAGGGGCCCCGGGGTTCAATTCCCAGCCAATGCCTATCACGCACCATCTGTCAGTGGAAGCTTCCAGATAAGGAAACTTAAGGCTCATAGTTTGTAACCAGGAGGCTTTTGTTCCATTGTGCACGGGGTTCCCATGAAGCAGGGGCCCACATGACAGCAGCTGGTAACATCTGGAAGCATCCAGAACCCCTTCAGGTGTGGTCCGGGGCTGCCAGCCTTAGCTGAGGCTGTGGGGCACACAGGAACAGAGGCCTCACCCAACCCTGAAGAGATAGCACATACGTGCCACATACCTGAGTTCTCAAAAGACAGCCCTGGACATGCTGTCCACTGGTCACGGACAAAAATGGCCCCAGACGCCTCTGTCTGACTGAGACCACTGCGGCTTGGCTGAGCAAAGAGGTGACAAAATGCTGCCCACATCACTTTAGCCTTTTCTACTTTATTACTTCAAATTAACCACCACAATAAAGCTCAAAAAAGTCCAATATTTACACAGGAAAAAAGTACAAAATTCCCCCCAAAGTTCTTCAGTATTTTTTTTTTCAGTTTTTTTAAATTACAAAGTAATAAAAAGCTTTGCTCTTTAATTAAAAAAAAAAAAAGAAAACAAAGGGGCAACAGAGGTAAATAAATTAGGAAATACAGACATGAAGAAAACAAACAAAATTCAAAACACAAAACGGTGTTAACTAGGAAGGTCTGGAGAAATTCCCACACCCAGCCTGACCCATGGCAGCTGTCAGACCCGGGACTGAATTTATAACCCAAGAGCAGGACGCTCTGTTGAAGTGGTCTCACGGTGGGAGGGACTGGACTGCCACGGGGGATGACAGTTTAGGGAGGTACGGTGATGAGGACCCTCATGTCCCTTCTGGGGACACTGCTCACGCTGATGTCTCTGTCACGGGGTGAACAGGAAAGCGGCCTGGCAGGCAGTGCCGAGCACCCACTGTCCAGGGAAGCACAGGGCACAGACGCACACACACGCGCACAAGGTCTTGGAGGGGCCCCCACCTCTCCACTCGCTCCACAAGGAGAGGCCAAGGAGGACCCAAATGCTTAGGGGGACGGTGAGGAAAGCCCAGCATGGAGTGCTGGCCACCTTCGTCTTGGAGGAGGTGGGCTGTGTCCTGTGGTTTGATTCCTCCCGGGGGAGGACTCCTTGCTCGTCAGGATGGCATGTGGTCAGCTCCATCTCCAATACTGAGACCCCCGCCCAGCCGGGGCCTGGGGTGGTCGGCCATCTGGCATGTATAGCCTGGTGACGGGGGAGTATTTGGCAGAGGAAACGCAGGAGACAAGACTCCTCAGTGGGGAGGGAAGCTTGTCTTCTTGCCGTTGGCAAAAAAAAAAAAAGGTTAAAAAAAAAATCAAACAAAATCCGTTGTTGTCGGTTTGTGCTGGGTGTTCTTGTTGTTGTTCGAGTGTTATTTTTTTTTTTCATCTTTTTGTTTGTTTTTTAAAAAGAAAATACAGTGAAGACACTAGAAGGAGGAAGAGAGAACAGAGGTTAGTGGGGAGCCTGCCCCTGACCAGCCAGCCTCCACTCTCCCTTCAGCCCTCTCACGAGATTTGAGTGAGGACCAGAAACAGGTCATCCCCTCTGCGGCCCGAGCGCCGGCCCAAGGCACAGCCCACTGTGGACACCTCATCTTCACAGCAGGACAGATGAGCTGGTTCTCCTCCCTCCCACCCTGTCCACCCTACTCCTGTCGGGCTGGAGGGGCCTGGGTTTGAGGGCTGAACAAGGCGAGTGCCGCTTTGCGCCCAGCTCTGCTCTGCGGGGGAAGGAACTTCTTCAGAGACAATCAGTGGTGTCCCCGTGCGAGGGTGAATCCCTGCCACTCTCTGGGATGTGGGTCCTTCTGCTCTGGGTAGGGAGGTGCTCGTCAGTGCCTCAGGGTCTCACACAGCCCCCAAAAACCCCATCTCCTCGTGCTGCCAGAGACCTCCCTGGGCTTACAGAGAGCACCACGGGCCTCCTCAGACCGCAGACAGGCCCACAGTCCCCGGGACTCCATCTGAGTGCCCTGTCTGATCCAGAGGTGAGAAGCTGGGGGACCAGGAAATGCCCAGGAGGCCAAGTGTGACCCCCCACTTCCCCATCTCTTCTAAAAACTGTTTTTTGGAATATGAGAAGGTGACTGGACCAACAGCAGGAAGTTGTGTGGCCCCAGGACTGGGCCAAGGAGACCTCACAGGAGTCAAGTAAGGTCCTTGGTTTTGGGGTTACCTGGTCTCATTTGCCACCTCCCTCCGGCCCTGGGGTTTCCTGGTTGGCTGGGCGCCATGCACTCACCTAGCAGACACTGGCCCGGCAGCTCCTCCTCACTTCCCGAGGTGGTCAAATGGCACGCTTGTCTTTAGGGAGGGGGCAGATAAGAATCAAGTTATGTCCCTCAGTTGCGGCCAGTGGCAATCTGGCTTATCTATCCTGACTGCAGAACCCCACACTAAGCTGACAGAAAAGTGAGCTGTGGGCCTTTGTGACTTCCAGGGCCACAGAGGAGGAGATATGTGGCCCAGAGAAGGCACGTGACCGCTCCAGATTCCCCGTCCACTTTCTCAGGCCAAACACAGTCCTGAGTGGGGTTCTCAGGGCTCAATCTCAAACTCTCGTCAGTGCTGAGTGGGGCTGGGGTTTCAGTTGCAGGGACTCCAAGCGTCATCTCCGAAATCCCACACCCACCCACGCTGGCTCTGCCAACAAGCGTCAGAATCCCAGCCTTCTCCTTTCTGAACAAAGTTACTGCTCAGATGTGGGCTCGGACTCTGCTCCACAGGTGACTACACCCCAGAGGTTAACACACAGCCCAGCCCTAAGCTAAAAGGCCTGGCCCAGTGGTCACCAGAGCCAGGGCGGCAAAGAGCAGAACCAGGAGGCCTGGCTGTGTGGGCACTGAGGGCACTGGGTCAAATGGTTGGGGTGCAGGGCTCAGCAGGGAAGTCAGAGGGCTGGGGCGCTCTCAGTGAGGGTGGGAGGCTGGGGTGAACAGTTCAGCAGGGAGGGTAGAGAGCTGGAGAGCAGGGTTGTATGGAGCTACAGGGGTCTCTGGGGGGGGATGAGGTATAGGAGTTGCTAGGGAGGGGTGAGTGTAGAGCTCAGCAGAGAGGCCAGAGGCATGAGGGTGCATGACTCAGGTGGGGAGCAGCTAGAGAAAAGACTGGGGTGCATAGCTCAGTACGGAGGTCAGAGGTTTAAGGGTGCAGGTACCGACCAGGGAGCGGCTAGGGGTCCAGGGCTCAGCGAGGAGGTTAGGGGTGCATAGTTAAGCTGGAGAGTAGCTGTGGAGGAGATGAAGTGAAGGGCGCAGCAGGGGCCAAAGATCTGAGGGTGCAAGCGTGGGCTGAGGAGTGCCTGGGAGTGCAGGCAGCTCACCTGTGAAGCTGAGATCCGGGAGACCTCTTGCCGCCCAGTGAGGTCTGAGGACGAGACGTTGGCGGGAGCGCCCCTGTGCAGCCTCATGCTCACCTTCCTCTCCCTGTCGACCCGAGAGATCGCTCTGGGAGAAGTATTGCCTGTGGGAGGGAGACCAGTCTGAGCGCGGGCAGAGGGGGTGGCCCTGCCCAGGGCTCACCCGCTGCCATCCACCCGCTGCCCAGGGCTCACCCGTTGCCATCCACCCGCTGCCCAGGGCTCACCCGCTGCCATCCACCCGCTGCCCAGGGCTCACCCGCTGCCGCCCTGCCCGGGGCCCTGCTCACCAGCTTGCTGGATGCGGGAGGCTGGGGTAGTAGCCACGGGCTCGGCAGCACTGCGGAGGCGGTTGGCAGTAGCCCCTGTAGGGGGTCCAGGGGGCAGGGCTCGGGTCGCGGACCCCCGCAACTGCCCCATCCTCTCCTCGCGCTCGTGTTCTCTCCGCTCCCGGTCCATGTCCTCGGGGTTCCGGGCTGCACCCTGTGGGACCCAAGAGGAGACATGCGTCAGCCTTGCTGGGCCAGGGCACTGGGCACCCAACACTCAGACACTCAGGGCAGAGCAGGGCCAGGAAAAGAAGACGCGAGAGGCCTGGAAGTGACCCACGATCACAGGACAGACAGAGCTGCACCACGTCCTGGAAGAAGGCTGGGGTCGGGGGAGGGGGCAGAGGGGTGACCATATGGCCTCTCGCGTCAGGGTTAGAGCAGGGAAGGAGAATATTCCAGAATGGCCTCAGACACCAACCTGGGGTTGGGACCTGCCCAGCCCCTGTGCACAGAGCCTGTGTGGCTTTTTAAGGTTTCTAAAGCAAGCAGGGCAGGAGTCCAGAGGACGTCCCTCTGGAGGCAGATGGACAAGGTGGGGCCCAGAGAGAAGACAGCAGTCGCCCCCAATCACAAAGCTAACTGAAGGCAGGACCGGGCCTTGAACCAGGGCTCCTGGTGCCCAACCAGCTTTTCCACCCCCTGCAACGGCTCCCAACAATTATCAGGGTGAGGCGACAGCCAGAAGGCCCAGGGACCACCGGTGCTGCCCACCTTGGCCGAGAACCCGAGAGCAGGAGGCGAAACTGGCTGGAGGCCCGTGGAAAACGAGGCCCTGGGACCTGCCCTCCAGTCACTGCAGCCCCAGCACAGGAGGAACCAAGAGAAGGCCAAGAGAGGAGCACGGGACGGGGCACCTGGGGTGTTACCTAGGGGGGCACCTGGGGTGTTACCTAGCCGGTCCTGGGGCCGTCCTCGGGGAAGGGCAGGGGGCTGGCGTGGGGGGGTCTGCATCTGTGGAGAAGAGAGCTGGGGGCTGAGTGGAGGCTGTGCACGTGCTACAGGGCCGGCCACCCCGTGTCTCTCCCAGACAGCCAGAAGGCCTGTGCCTCTCAGGAGACCTATAGAGGTACCCTCATCTTTCTACAACTTTGGGATCGGTTCCCCCAGAATCCTAGTGGGGATGCAAGAGCTGGAGAGGCCTCATGATCTGCCTGGGTCACAGAGCTCGGGGCAGAGCTGGAATGTGAACTCCGGCCTCACCACCGGTTCCTGCTGCACTCCCTGCATCCCTACAGTCCTCGGGGTTTAGTCCTACAGTTCCCTCAGGGGACCGCTCTAGGGACGCGCCTCAGTCCACAATGACCCCTCGGGGTATAGTCCTACAGCTCCCTCAGGGCAAGGTTCTAGGGACGTGCCTGCCTTAGTCCACAATGACCCCAGATACCCAGTCCTCCGGACGCACAGTCTGTCCACGGTCCAGGCAGGCCTGGGACAGCCAAGGTTCCACTTTCGGGGCTCAGGTCCTCCCTCCAGGCTCCACCAGTAAACCCTGCGGTGGCACCTATTTACCAAATGCCTCAAGAAGCCCTCCAAGTCCACAAAGCAGGTAAGCTCCATTCTCTTGGGGAAACTGAGGCTTGGTGAGGCCAAGTGATTTGTTCCCAAGTGCCCGGCTCTGGGGCCAGTGGCTGTAGGGAGGCTGGAGGCCCTGCCCCTTATGCCCCGACAGCTGCCCCCAATGTAGCAGGCAGTGGACCACCGTCTCCTCATTTCCATCCACTCCAGGTGACGCTTCAAGAAACACAAGCCTGCCAGGGAGCCTGCTTGGCCTTTAGTTACCAAAAAGATAGCACAGAAAGTCAAAGTCATACACCCCCGAGCTGTGGCCCTCTGTCCTTGGCTCTCCTCCTGGTCAGCTGGCTGGACCTTTGACCACAGTGACTCCAGAACCTCTGACGTGAAGTGCCGTGAGGAGGCCCTGCAGGCCGAGGATGTGGAAGGTCCACCTTGTATCCTACAGAGGCTTCGCCAGCAGGCTGCTGGAATCACTGGCCACGTCACCGCTGGGCGTGCACACAGGTCTGGTCCACAGCCCCAGGCCTGAGAGGACGGCAGAGAACAGGAGTGTTGGCAGCTCAGGTAGCTTCTGGGTGTCAGCAATGGACGAGCAGCATGGTCCGGGCTTGGCTTGTGAGAATGGCTCTTTCGGGGCCCAGTCCAATGAGGGACTCTGGAAGGAGGCCACCTAGAGCAGTACTGTGTCCTGGAACTTTCTGTGATAATGAGGCGGCGCTGGGAGCCACAAGACATTTGCAGAGTCTGAGGACTTGAAACGGTGAGTTTGCCAAGAAACTTTATCTCCAACTTGACTAAACGTTAGCTCATTCCACGTGAGCCACAAGGTGCCAGCAACTCCCGTATGGGACAGTGGAAATCTAGAAAGCAGGAAGCCTGATGCTGGGGCTGTACTGAGCGGAGGGCCCAGCACTAGGCCCAGTGTCACTTTCCACGGACGAAGGAGGGTCAATGCCCAGGGCAGGGCCTTGTGAGGACCCACGGTCATGTTCTCAGGCTAGAGATTTGGGGTGAAAGGCCCTCTTCCTGTTCCTCATCTTAAGTCCAGACCAGGAGGCCATCAAGGCCCTCCTGAAGGTCCTGTGTGTGTAGGAACCTCAGTCTCCTTAGGGTACAGCATCAGGTTTCAGTCTGAGACCTGAAGGGACAGCTCTGTACTGACCTCAGCGTCCAGCGTATCTGCCCACCGGGCCCAGGGGCCCCTTGTGAAGAGATCGACACCAGGATAATGCAGGCAGCTTTCTTTAATATGTTCTGGTTCAGTACAGAGGCCGCCAGCCAGTCCTGCTCCGCTGCCACCTCCCGACGCCCTGTCCCTCAGGCCCCGCCAGCACGGCCGCCATCATCCCCTCCGGCCTGACCGGGTCCTCAGGCCCCACTTCATTTCCGAGGCTCCTCAGCGGTGTCTTCTCTTCCAGCCGTGCCCTCTCTGCCTCACGCCTCCTCTCAGGCTCACCACCACCATCCCATGGGACATCTCCGAGGCAGGTGACACTTGGCGACATCAGGACTGGGCCCTGGAGTCCAGACCATTGGCCAGTAGCTTTGAGGGGCCAGCTCTTCCAGCTCTCCAGCCTCCTCCAGTGGCCTATCTGGGGGTTCTGGGGTGCCCAGAGGCGCCGGGCACCTGGAAGGGACAGAGCACAGCAGACGCTCAGCCCCATGTGCGTGCCCAATCAAGTGGTCAGTTCGGAAAGGCCAGTCTTCAGAGGGTCCTTACCAGTAAGAGGGTGGGGACAAGGGCCCGGCGCAGGGACGGGGGCGAGGGGAGGGTGGTGCAATGGCTTCTTTGTCGCAGGGCTGAGCCTGGCTCGAGGAAGCCCCCTTTTCCAGAAGAGATTTGAAAGAAGACATAGCATTTCACAGGTTCCGGAGCTCCAGGCACAGCCGACGAACACGTTCCCCTCCCGATCCCCCACGACCCTCAGAAGATGGAGACAGAGTGGCTGCCTAGCCAGACCCAGGGGCCCAGGACCAGGAAGAAGGAGACCAGCATGGACGTGTCCAAGCTGGCCAGAGGGACTGCAGAGAGGGCCATGGCCTGGGAGGTGCAGAACAGCAAGAGCAGGGTGACATAGGCGAGGATTAAGGCCTCAGGGGCACCGGCCAGCGCCACCCAGGCCCTCACGAGGGACCTGAGCCCCAGCCAGGCGCGTCTTGCTCTGCCGGGAAGCGGCACACCGCTGACGTCACCTGCACTGTCCAGCTCGTAGCTGCCGCTCCTCGGGAGGCCTGCCTGCCACTGGGTCACTTTTGCCCTCTGAGTCAGGGTCTGCCCTGTCCACTGCCCCCAGCCCTCCTTGGCCTCCAGGTGACTCACGAATTTGAGCATGTTCCAGTCGAACACGTAGTCGTAGGAGAAGCCCTGCCGGTGGAAGAGGTTACGGAAGAGCTGGCGCAGGTAGGAGTAGTCGGGCTTGTCGTCAAACCGCAGCGAGCGGCAGAAGTTGAGGTATGTGGAGAACTCGGCTGGCAGGGGACAGAGAAGCAACTGTGAGATCTGTCCTCCCGCCCACTGTCCTAACAGACTGCATCTAACTGCATCTAACTGATTGAGAGGCAGATGAAAGCAGAACACAGCTCCTATGTAAGAGTCTTTGCAGTGGTGATTAGACCCTCAGCGGCCCGGGAGCACAGCCTTTAAAGATGAGATGGGAGCGGGCGGAGATCTGTGAACGATGAGCAAGAGGCCTCGTCCCACGACCTGTCTCCAAAGGAACTTCATTCACGGTACTTCACCTGCTCTCACCAGATATGCTAGGGGTCACGGACACCGCAGATCAACAGCTATCAGGCTGTGTGTACCATCAAGTCAGAACCGATTCACACCTGACCCTCCAGCTGGTTTTCAGAGGCAGTTTAACTGCACGGGAGGAGACTGCCCATCTTTCTCCCCTTGAAGCTGGTGGGTTTGAACTGTGGCCTCTGGGATGGCATCATAGCTCCTTACCACTAGGCCACCAGAGCTCCATCTCACAGGCTGCTGAAAAGCCCACAGTCCTGTGCAACATGAACTAAGATTAAGGAGGGAAACGGTCTCAGTTCTTTCTCAAAAACAGAGTAGAAGAAGGTGAGCCAGAGCCCACCTTGGGAGAGGAGGCAGGCGTGTGGGTTGGATAGTGGAAACAGCCAGCTGGGTGAGGCCCGCTAGCCACGCCTCAGTGGCCACAGCGTGTGACAGCTGCGTACGGCCAGAGGCAGTGGAGGCTGCCGAAGGCCCATGTGGCCTCACCTTCCCCTCAGAAAAGGCAGGTACTGACCCCGGGGCCCAGCAGGGCTCACTTACAGGGGTAGCCTTTGCACAGGACCTCGATGGGAGTGGACATCTTCTTCTCACTGATCCGCTCGTACTTCTGCCGCTTGGTGGCCGCCTTGAGGCCCTGCCAGGGCAGGGAGCCCAGGTTGAAGTACATGAGCACGTAGCCCAGGCTCTCCAGGTCATCTCGGCGGCTTTGCTCTGCAGGAAGGAGGTGGGGTGGGGTGTGAGGGCCCTGACCACTGAGAGCCAGGTCCCCTCCTAAAGGGTATCCTGTCCCCTCAACTGAGGGGAGCACGCCTACCCTGGGCCTACACTGTGGGCTGGTTCACTGCCCCACCACTATCAACACGTCCTGTCATTACCTCTGCCTAGACTCAAGATCTTTCTGATTCAGATTCAGCCTGGCATGTCCAGCTCAGGTGCCTATCCTTCCAACAAGGACACAGCTGGTGCCCCTTGTGCCTCTTGGCCAGGCCACTGGGCACTGGCCAGGCCCAGGGTCAGATCCCACGTTGACACTAGTTAAGTGGCAAGATTTTAAGCAACTTGGATGACCCCTGAGAGCTTTTGCTCCGCTCAATGTAGAGGGCACGGTGACTCCTCTCTCAAGGTCGCTACGAGGTGGTAGGAAGGCCTGTGGGGGCCAAAGGGCCAGCACATCACAGTTCTCTTCCAGTGGAAGACCTGACCCAAGTGCAGACTGGGGCGGACTGTGGGGCCTCCGAGGGAGGCTGCCTGCATTATGGGTGGAAGGCCAAGGCCGCGGCCGCCCTGCACCTGGGAGCCTCGTCCTCACCGATGCCCAGGTGGGTGTTGATGGAGGCGTAGCGGGCAGTGCCAGTTAGGTTCTTGTTTTCCCGGTAGGGGATGTGCTGGTGGGTGCGGGCGTCCCGGTACTTCTTGGCCAGACCAAAGTCGATGATGTATACCAGGTTGCCCTTCTTTCCCAGCCCCATGAGGAAGTTGTCAGGCTTCACGTCCCGGTGGATAAAGTTCTTGGAGTGGATGTACTCGATGCGGCTGATCTGGGGGAAAGAGGGACCACTGGTCATTTGGTGGGTGTTGGACAGACGTCACAGAGATGGAAAAGACACATGGGGCCCCTGTTCTGGGCTGGGGAGACAGATCTGCCTACAACTCTAAGGGGAAAGTCAAGGAAGGCTTCCTGGAGGAAGTGACATTAGAGACAGATCTGAAGACACTTGCTTGCTCTGTGTGTGTGTGTACACGTACCTTGGGGACAAAGCCACAGTAGGGAGGCATCCAGGTGCCTGTGGTACCTCACCTGCCTGGCTCTGCACCCTAAAGGGCCTGAGGAGTAGTGGGGGTGAGGGCAGAGCACCAATGACACTTAAACTTGGGCAGAGGTGACAAGAATGGAAGCCAGGGAGGGGTCAAGAGCACAAAGGAAAGGACTGGTCCCTAAGATCCCAATGGCAGGCCAACCAAGCTCTTCTCTTTCCTTCAAATAATGCTTTAAAGCAGTAAGTGACCTATCTCAAAGCAGCTCAATGCCCCTCCCTGGGAGGCTTGTGGCCCATCTGCACATCAAGGCTTCAGCACAGCTGGGGCTGGGCAACTCCAGACCAACAGGAATCCCCCCCAGGCTGCCCTGCCCTGCCCCCACCCTGTGAGGTGCTAACAAGCTTCCTCAGCAAACACATCTGACCTAAAAAGGCTGCCATCAGCCTGGCCCAGGCCAACTGCCTGTATGTGAGCTGTGCTTGCCATTCTGTCTGTACCAGATATAATTTGTATTTTACGCTTTACTCTTTTATAAAACTAAAGGGCCTTTGAACCTCAGAGGTGCTCATTTTGGGGAGCATGCCCTGGTCACATCAGCCTGACAGCAGGGATTCTCCCCCATGAGGCAGCTGAGACTCAGAGCACCTTAACATCTCACCGAGGGTCATCACACTGGAATAAGACCCAGGTCTGTGTGTGATCACGGGCCTGAAAGTCACCAGGGGCACAGGCCCGACGCAGCAGGCCGGGATCTGCACTTCAAACAGACACCCCTGGGATTCTACTGCTGGTGGTCAAGGCCCCCAGGTTCCTCCAGTATCCCTGTCACCCCCTCCTCCTCCTCTCTGGTCCTGGTCCTCAAGGTAGAAGAAGAGTGGGAATCCTGTGCCCACTGGTGAGAGGGGCGTGGACTCTGGGAGAAGAGGGCCACTGTGAGGGGGTGGGAGTAAGGGGCGGCTCACCATCTGGTCGGCCAGGAGCAGCACCGTTTTGAGGCTGAACTTGCGAGAGCAGAAGTTGAAGAGGTCCTCGAGGCTGGGCCCCAGCAGCTCCATGACCATGACGTTGTAGTCGCCCTCAGCACCACACCACTTGATGGATGGGATCCCCACTGGGGGTCGGGCAAAGGGCTCCATCAGGGGCTATCCCACCCCACCCCTCAGACCATCTGTTCTCCCCCTGCTGTCCTCCCGCTGCGTGTGAACATATGCAAACGTGCTCAAACACATGCACAGACAGCTCCTCCATGTCTCTTCCCCTGCACAGTCCTCCAGCCCTTCCCCTCTGCACAGCCCTCCAGCCCCCCACCTCAGTCCTCCAGCCCCCCCCTCAGTCCTCCAGTTCCCCACCTCGCACAGCCTACCAGCTCCTCCCACCTCAGTCCTCCAGCTCCCCTCATCTTGCAATCCTCCAGTTCCTCCCCACATCAGTCCTCCAGCTCCCAAACCTTACAGGGGCCTCCAGCCCCTCCAACTCCCGTCCTCCAGCTCCCCCACCTCACAGTCCCCCAGCTCCCCCACCTCACGTCCTCCAGCTCCCCCACCTCACGTCCTCCACCC